AAAGTTAATCTAATTATATATATTAAATTTGAGATCATTTTTGTATCTAAGTTTTTTTATCAGCAATTTCAATAATTAATTTTGAGAACATTCAATTTTAATTTTCAATGAATTTATATTCATGATATTATTATTGAATGAGATGAATCCATCTTAATGTCACTTAAGGGAGACATAATTACGTGCGGTCACCGGACGGTCCGAAGACGAATCAGAATGTGTCATGTCACCCAGTACACGGCGATAGTTAGTAACAGTACAAAGCAAAAAAGTGACGTGACACGTCCTAATTTACCTCCGAACAACATCCGGTGGTCGCACGTTATAATTTACCAATAAAGGAGGTACATTATTCTACAAATTTTGTATGTTCATAGTTGGAATGAACATCTTAGTGGCATTAATGTAATATTAGAAAGTTATGAAGTTTTGAGTTCCTTGAAGCACTAAAATGCTAAGAAAATATGAGATAAATTAAATTGTAGAAATAACTACAATGCCTCAATAGTGTCTATCGACGAAAGTCAATCAAGCCAACTATATGTCAATCAGACAGACAGCAAACACACAAGCCAATGTCACTTTACTTTTGATATTTCTAATTCATTGATTGTCAAATTCTTAATTCAACACATACTCCGTAGAAAAAATAATTTTTATAGATAAATCAAATAATTCTGAGAATTAAAATGCACTGTATACTATATATTCTCAACATAAACCATCTTAAATATAGTTAATCAAATAAAGTTCAAGGTTTCATATGAAATGACTTTCTTACTATTTCTTAAAGCAACTTTTTAGAATAAAAATTAAAATTTTTGTACTAAAATGTAGCTTTTTTACTAAAAAGCTGCGTTAAGAAGGAATACGAAAGATGTCTCAAATGAAGCCTAAGGCAGATATATGTTACATTTTAGACATTACATTGATTGAACAATGCAAAAAGGAACCGTTTATTTAAACAAGATTTTGCTGAGCATTTTCGAGTATAAAATTTCATTATTCGTTTTATAAAAATTAAGCTAAAAAAAATGTTATTCTAACATACTTCAAAAAAAAAAAAAAAAAAAAATTTATGCCAAAGGTAGCATAATGGATACCATAAGAAAGACCATTGGCATTTCCGATAGGGCGAAACCTTCAAATTAATATATCAAGAAGCCCATATAATAACATAAAAATAATGTCTCACTTCGTGGCTAGGGTTTTCCGTCTTCATCTTCCTCTTCGCTCCGTGGCCGCCCCATGGGTAATCTCTTCCTAATTTCTCTTGCGTTCCTTTCATTTTCTTTGCCTCGTTCATTATCATGGTGGTTATGACTGTTAATCGGCTATTTGACCCCGATTTTTTGAATGGTAAGGCAAATAAGCGCTCTTTATGGGAGGCTCTGGCTGGGTCTTCTTCCCTGCAAGATTTTCCTTATCTCAAAATCACCTCTTTCAATGGTCTTCCTTCTCTTTGGATTTTTTGATGCTGAGATGTTGGCCTTGGCTGCTCCGTTTGAATTTGCATTGGTTAGGAATTTTGCTGGTCGGCGTCTGTCGCTGGAATCGATTCAATTTTTTTTCCAACTTAAGTTAAATGGTGAATTTTTTGTTATTGTGCTCAACTCTAAGAATATTTTGATAAAGCTTTTGAACGACCTAGACTACTATATGGTCTTTTCTCATCGCTCTTATTTCGTAAATAATTGCTATATGAAGTTGTTTAAGTGGTCTCCCCATTTTGACATTACTGTTGAGTCCCCTGTTATTCCTATATGAGTTTCTTTCCCTAATTTGCGTACCCATCTCTTATCCCCTCGTGTGCTTCATGGTCTTGGCTCTCTGCTTGGTCGTCTGTTGCGTACTGATAAAGCCATTACTTCGAGGTTTAGGCCTTCGGTCGCCCGCATTCTTATCAAGTTATACATTACTAAGCAGTTTCCGGATCATGTGTGGCTTGGTTCTGAGAAGTTTGGTTATGTCCAACAAGTGGAGATGGAAGAGTTTCCCTTTTATTGTTCTCATTGCAAAGCATTGGGTCATTCTAATGCTGGTTATTTAATTCTTCATCCTCATTTAGATGTTAAGTCTGCTCCTCCTACGGTCTCTTTTGATGTTCTTACTGAGCAGCTTTTAACTGGATCTGCGGGTAATTTTCTTATCCAATAGGTTAATTTACAAGCTAATGTTCCTTCGGTTTGTGAGGCTTCTTTGCCTGGTGGGCTTATTGCCCTTTCTCCTAATCCTGAGGTTATTTTGCACATGAATGATTTTTCGGCTTGTGAGGAAATTTTACTTGCTAGGCCTGTTGCCCTAGAGAATGTTGTAGGTGTTCCTATGAATTGTATTATTGCTTCTAACTTGGTCTGTTTGGGTGAAACTAATGCTGTGATGGATAGTGTTTTACTTCCCAATTCTTCCCATAGAAGTGTTGATACTCCCTTGGCAGTGCAAAATGTGATGGAAGAGAATATAGTTGCATGTGAGCTTAATAGGGTAGTTGAGCAGGAATGTTCCAGTGGTTCGGCTCATATTGGTGAGGTGGTGGGTGTTGTTTCTCCTTCGTTTATGTCTCCTTAGGCGGATCCTGGTATTGTCGGGATCGGTCTTCTTTTCCTAGCATCTCATTTATGTGCAAGTGACGGTGGTGGTGGTCTTAACTCTAAATTACCTTTGTCTCGTAGGGGTACTATGTCTGCCCCATGTGTTTTGGCTGAGGTTTTTGCACCTACTGTGGTGGTTGAGCATTCTGGTTCCTTGCTTTCTCCTGCTGTGCCGATTGTTGAACGCTTTCCTTCATCCTCTATTTCTTCCCCTGTGATGCCTACTATTCTAGTACCTAGCCCTTTTGTTGAGGTTTATGCTAATTTAATATCATCTGAGGCTCTATTTTATCATGTGGTTGTCAATTCGGGGGAGAGTGTGAGATTGTAAATTGATTGGCTTCAATGCTCGTCTTATTCCTCTTTGGAGGCAAATGGGGATGAAGAACCTGGGGATGTATTTTCTTTGCAGCATGGCCGATCTGTTGTGTATGTCTCCTCTCGTGGGAAGGGTAGACGTGGTAGGATATAATTTTAGATTTGTGGTGTAGATTTTGGTTGGCTTTGGCTCTTCTTTTTGCTTGTTGGTTTCATAGTAGTGGTGGGTTTTGGGGCATTCGTCAGTTTCTCTCCTTTGGGTTGTGGATTATTCGAGCCGGCTCATGAGCTCATAAACGATTTGAGCTCGAGACGTCTCGGCTTACTTACACCCCTAACGGCGAGCTGTCATGACATCCGACCCGATATGAAGGAACATCGTCGAAAGAGACAAATAAGTCTTTTATCGATTCGTTCAAAATTTTCCCTCATGCAGACTCGCTGAGGCGGGAGAATCACGTCAAATTCAGGTTAACTTCGAGTTATCGGATTGTCCTTATCCCGAATTTTTTTGTCAGGTTTGGATCGGGTTTTCGCATCGTGTCATATATTGAAACCCCTAGATATGGCATATAACATATGAAATGATGAAAGCACTACATTAAAATTGGATGTCCTGTCTTGCTTTTTATAATTAAAACATTTATATGATAATGCATGGAAATAATTGATAGATAAAACTATAGATAGAACTAATATCAAGCATACATTAATATTGATACAACATAGCATATCATATTGACATGACTTGGGTGATAATTTTTTTTACCGATTTTTCTTATAGTTTAATAGATCTCTTTGAACTTTATTATCATTATTTATTTTATTATTGATTTGAACTTGAAAATACATATTGATTTTTTTGTCTTACATTGAAAGTAGTGTAGGACATAAAAATTTTGACTATTACTATGAATTTCCTAGCATGCAATAATTTATGCATAACATGCTACAAAAATTAATTTGATTAAGCATGAATCTCAATATTAAAATTAAAAATTTCATGGAATTAAATTTAAGGCAATTCGAACTTCGTTTTCCGAAATTTATAGTCAATCTGAACATCTATATAAGATGAACCAATCAATATTAAAAGTAATCTTATCCAAGTCAAAATGAGCTCAAATCAAGCTTTTGAAATATAGTTAAAAATTGTGAGACATCAATTGGAAGTTAAAATGATCTCAAAATCTTACATGCTTATAGTC